AGCCAATTTTGATAATGTTACCATTGAATTTGTACTCTGGAACTTCAAGATTCAAAGGGGCGGGTCCCTGCAAACAGAAACTGAGACACGAGGGCAACCTTTTATTGGAAGAGGTATTACTACTAGCAACTTTTTCATTCAAGGATTTCCAAAGAACAAGGCTCTTTCTCAGAAATCTATGTTGATTGTCTTGTAGAAACGAGCACACTCTAATCTCTATGTGCAGATTACCACCAACCTTCCTTATGCGACCGGAAGTATCAAAATGGGCTCCATGACATGGGCAGAAGTAACCTCCGTAATCACCAGCACCCGCTGAACCATAAGATTGAATTGCGTTGTACGTAAAGACTGTAGTAAGTAAGAAAAGGAAAAAGAGAAAAAACCAAAAATTAAAAAATCTAATCCACACCGTCGAGTTGTAAATATCTTCGTTCATTTTATAAACCTACACTCTAGTCATTTTTTTTCACATAAAGCAAAACTGTATTAATAGAAAAGATATTTTTAAAAAGTGTTTTTAGACATTTTGCTGCAAGATAACGCGTCAACTTAATTTTAAAGACCAAAATTAGATTCACAGCAATATAGTTAATACTATGTTTTGCTTGCAAAGTGGTCTCTTGTGGCGACAAGAGAAAAAATGACAAAAACTTTAAAAAACGGAATTAAATGTAGCCCTTCTGGAACAATTGAGGACAACATTAGCACAGATCCTGAGAATGTTTGGGTTCAGGTTATATTGAAATGGCAAGATTTGTCAAATCAACATCAAATTAGAATTATAAGAATTCACTTAAATGACCGAGATTATCAAATATCACGAACGTATTGGCACACATCCAAGGTGTGTGCAAACTCCCATTACAACCGACCATTCATCTTTTTGAACACGTTCGTTGTCATGCTGGGGATCTCGCAAATGTGCGATATTTACGTCTTTTTCCCTGAAATAAATCAAGCAGGAGTGTTCCATAGATAGTCTTCTCCTAATTAAAAATTCTGATAGCACATTTTCATCAATTTAGTGGAAATGTACAACTAATGATAAAGAGAATTGATTCACTCAAACAAAATTTATCATAACGGAAGCCAAAAATCAAGCTCTAAAAAATACAATCTCGCACCTTTCAATCTCGTTTTTCGTACGAT